ACAGGCGTAGTTTTTTTGTAATTCTAGTATGACCTATGCCGCTGCATTTATTCGACTTTAACTTACCGTAAAGTTGATGTCCCAGTTGAAACAGCCCCTTTTCTTGGAGGACATCCAATGTAGAATGTAGATGTATTGTAGTAAATACATTTAACCTTATTAGGTACTAGATTTTTAGAGGTACATTTTGCACATATATTTTTTTAAATAAGTAAAGTTCTGCACTGAGTAAAAAAATATTATAGGGTTATTACAAAAGATTACTGACGGATTTTTTTTTCCAGTTGGAGGTCTAATATCCTGATATACAGGTCGTTAGCCTGTTTAGGCATATGTGTCCTAGGCCCATTACACTTATTATGTCGTATTGTGGTGAGAAAAATCAGTACAGAGTATCGAGTTCTTAGGTTTTCGCGATTGTTACACATAGGAAATGAAACTATTTTGCCGGATTTAAATCGCGTATATTTGTTTTTTCAAACAAACCGACGTTTCGGGCCCTTTACAGGTCCCATGGTCACGGTTGACTGAGGTGGTACAGTCTTCAACCAGTTATGTCCAATATTGATGCAAACCACCCTATTTTTTCACCATAGTTACAATAGTTATTAATTAAATACCTTATTTTTAATTTTACAAAGAAAACATTCCAATTTACGCTATATAAAGTTTTACAAATTATTTTATTGAATGAATTTTTATTAAGTTCAATTTATTATTAATTATTAATAGAAATTATATATTAATATACATTATAAACTAAAACATATTAATTAGTACTGCAGTCTTATGTCTGTTTGGGATTTTTCATTAGAGGAAATACTGGATCCCAAACTGGTGGTACGGAGAAACCATCTTCCCTGTTGAAATTAGGATAGGATGTTTTTTAATTTCAATGGCCTCTCGCAGCATCCTGGGTAGATAACGGACTTCTTTTGCAAGGACCTGGGGTTTGTCAAACTTCATTGAATGTGTAGGTTTATCCATGACATGCTCGTAGACTGCAGACTTGTTTACGCGGCGGTGTTTGACATCAGCTATATGTACGCGATTTAAATCCGGAAAAATAGTTTCATTTCCTATCAGTACAGAGTACCTACTTTAAAAAAAACCAACCTTAAAAGTCATCCCTTCCCTAGTTTGCCTCCCTTACAGGTAGAATATTTTTTTCAAATTGAAATGGTTATACTACTGAAGTACTTTATTTCCAACAAAAAATGAATCATCAAAATCGGTTGTCAAATGACAAGTTGATGCTGAATTATCGCGTAAAATACTTACAAAAAAAACATAGAGTCGAATTGAGAACCTCCTCCTTTTTTATGAAGTCGGTTAAAAGTCAACATTATGTTCTCTTTGGTGGAAAAACTTTTACTACACGTTTAGCCTTGTCCGTCTCGTCATTTGGTATCTAAAATGGTATCTTGGTGTATAAAAATACTTCTTACTGTCATCGATGGAGCAGTTTTATTCCACTTAATTTGACTACTTTTGCCTAGGTAGTAGACAAGAAAGTCACTGTTATTTCCTCCCTCATAACTGGAATCGGAGTTATCCTCTTCCAAAAAACCTTCTCATGCGTTCCTTATACACACTGAGGTAATAAAATATCACCTAAAATAATTTACAATACATAATGTAAACTCAATTATAATTAAAAATAATACACAACTAAGAATTACTAAAAATATTAATTTAACGACCATTTGCGCCGTGTAGGGACCAAGCTTGCTTCTTATCCAGCAGGCTGCAAATCCTTTTGGTCCCTGGCCAAAGCGGTCGAATCTAACTTTTGTCGCCCATCTTTGCAACCTCTGCTGAGGCCGGATGGCTCGCTGGCTCATAATGCGAAAGAGAAGGTGAATCTCTTTGCCTCACTCTTTGCAAAGAGTTCGCGTCTGGATGCCACAGGGAACCTACCACCTTCTTTACCTCAGACTAGCTGCACTACATAGAACTCTGCGAAATCTAGACGTGAATAAAGCTAGCGGGCCTGATGGAATTCCAGCAATTGTCCTGCGTAACTGTGCGCCTGTGTGGTCTCCTGTTCTCACACGTCTGTACCACCTCTCACTTGAGACTGGTGAAGTACCCAGGCCGTGGAAGCTTGCAAACGTGCAACCAGTACCAAAAAAGAGAAGTAGAGCTGACCCTGTCAACTATAGACCTATCTCAGTCACTTCCATACTCCACAAGACTATGGAACGTGTATTAAACAACCGTCTTCTATTGTACCTTGAAGACAACGACCTCCTCAGTGATCGCTACTACGGATTCCGAAGAGGGTGATCTCCGGAGATCTTATTGTGTATGCCTGTCACAAATGGAGCGAGGCTATAGAAAAGTAAGACGAAGCACTTGCAGAGTCTTTGGACGTTTCTAAAGCCTTTGACAGGGTCTGACACGCAAGCTTTTTGAGTAAGCTTCCCTCTTATGGGCTTCCCAATGACCTTTGCAATTGGATCTCAAATTTCTTGAGCGAATGGTCGATTCGAGTCTGCTGCCGCCTTTGGGATGGCTCTGCTACATATCAACTGGCCACTTTGGATTCAATTGACAACCGTACCAAGAGGCTTATAGGTTGACTCGGAATTAGTGGAGACGAAGCTGCAGAGTCTTGAACACCGCCGTAAAGTTGCCTGTTTATCGGTATTTTACAGGATATATCACGGTGAGAGTGCGATTTAATTACACGATTTAATTCCGTCTTCCCCTTTCCATTACCGGGGGACTAGGCATAGGCTTGGGTTCCACTCCTATGTTGTGGATATTCCGAAGATTCGCACGATGCTTACGCTTCCACATTTATATGGCGAACGACTATGGACTGGAATTCCCTGCCTGCAGACTTGTTCTCTAAACGTTATAACTTGGACCTTTTCAAGGCGAGAGTGAATAGGCATTATTTAGGTGTGCATGCTCCATCGTCGACCTCATCGTCACTTTCCATCAGGTGAGATAGCGGTCAAATGCGCACTTACATTTTATGAAAAAGAAAAAAAACGCGGCAAACTATAATCGTGGGTCTGAGATACAAAATATAAATATGTAAAACCATACTGCGGAAATAAATTGAAAACAAATGGCAGCATTCCTTTCAAACCATTCATAATTGCACGCGACATGTCGCTGTGTTGCAATGCAATGAACGTATCTGTTTGCACTGAACGCAATAACCTCGCGCAAATGAACTTTTTAATCACATTCCCCGGTTTTGTCCAGTATAACTTTTGTTTCTGACATATCTTTCCTGATAGAGATGAATGTGGACAAATAAAAATTAAAACCTATATTTGGAATACCCACGTATACCGGAATAGTGCATGTAAATCGGTTAATTGTAACTGTCTAACTGGCTATTTCCGAACCAGGTTTTCAGCTAAGGAAAACCCGGTTTTTTTGGGTTTTTACCAACTCACTCATGTCAACTTTTGACTTTCTAATTATAAATTAAGCTATATGGTTAACTAAATGGGATGTTAGTTGCTTCTCTCTAATTATATTTGTTATGCAATATTTGTATTTCATTTCATAGATTTGTTTTTTAATATAATTAGAGAAGTTTAATTAGAGATTTAGTTTTAGGTTTTATAAAAAAAACCCGGAAATGCATTTAACGAATTATTTGGGTTACAATGGAAAAATATTCGTATAAATTGCATATCCGGTTAATAGAAAATTAGAAATCGGTAACCCGTGATGCTCCGTGAAATAAGCGACCCGAAATACTGCTGAAGGAGCAAAATGTCAAAGTAGCTTTGGATTTTTAATCTGAATTTTATTGTGGAACAAATAATGACCATGATAATCTCGTAGTGTTAAATATTCGCTTTTAGTGACTCCCGTACATACTTACTTAATTCTAGATTTTACTAAGTATTATCTGTCACAACAATATATTATTGGGTAAGTACTTTTAATACAACAAAGTTTCTTCATTGGCCACGTCTAAACAGAAAGTTCGTATGCCTAGACCATAGGTTTCCAGAATTGTTGACTCACCGCCCACTGAGGCAACATAAAAAAACTTTAAACGCCCACCACCACATGAAAACACGTATTTTTTATACCAACACAAAAAAATCACAAGAAGAAAAAATATATTTTATTTGTAAATTGGCACACTAAGTCTCCCGCTCCGAGTAGCTTTCCTCTATCATTTCCTCAAATATTATATGAAAGAGATCGCTCTTAGCGACAAGACCTCCTTTGCCCACATTACTTTTAAGTTATTTATGACTGTTCTTGTTCGTGTGTGTGAGAAAAAAAGTGTATATCTATCTATCTATATTTGTTGTGTAGTTTATATAGTTAATTTAGGTTTTTTTTTCAATTGCGGTAGCACCCCCTGGATAGCATCAACGCCACCCAATTGCTTCCGAAACCCGTACCGCCCTCACAGGACTCTTCGGCGTCCACTATGGCGCAGCAGGGACTACTTTGGGAAACTATGGCTTAGACTGATATTCGAAGTAGAAGAACTTCCAGCAGAGCGAGGAAAATGTGGTTTTGCTACATCACAAGAAAACCGATTTTATTCAATCAAAACTCACCTCGAAGCGTCGTCGTTGAGAAATAAAAGTCAATCATTCGACATATATAATTTGTATTAAATCAACAATATTTCTTACTCTTTACATTCTTTGGTATAATTTATCAGCTCGTTAGGTACAATGTCTATAGTTAAATTCACAATTCTTATACCAAATACATCTACTTATTTGCTATCGTATTTTTATTTTTACATTATTTTAATTTTTCTGGCCATAAGTCTTTTATGTTTTACAGAGACTGCGAATCAACCTCCCACTGAATACTTGTGATATTAGTAAACGTTTATTTTTCGAAAGCGACATGAAACAATTTTAAGAATCTAATTCGGTCACGCTTGGCTTCTCACCAAGGGTAAAGAACCGAAAACGTTGATATTGTTTAAGAACAAATATACATCCTTATATGACTTAGATTCGAAAAAAAACTTCTTTTTTTAATATATAACAATCATAAAAACCTAAAACTTCGATTCGTTTATGCTTTTTGATATTTCGAGATGAAAGAATTGTGTTTCGATAGTCAACATTTATTGTTTGAAATGGCTTACAGTTAATAAAAGACTTTAAGCCACATTTTTATTTACTAAATCTATGTATTGTTTATCCATATAGCGATAATATGGAGCAGTAGGAGAATTTGGCACGTACGAAGATATTCCGCTGCTGATCTCGGGAAGGTCACTGTAACAAAATACAATCCATTAATACTATAGGCTATGCTATGTGTAATCTAAAATCAATGGGCACACTTAAAAATTATAATATAATTGTTGTTTTTTATACAGATACCAAAAACCTCTATTATCATATAAAAAGTACAGACAGGTTAGACCTAGAAAATAATACTAAGAATTCTGAAAGATCCTTCTTTATACTACACGTTACGTAAAATGACACAATGTCGAAAATTATGCACCTGGATTTTCAAATGTTACATAAAAGCGATGTTAATAACAGTAACTAGGACTTGCATTCCCTCATTGAACAAAGAAGCACTCTGTACTATTAACGAAATGAATATTCATAGACATAAATAATAAGCCTACGTAACACCCTTGAAAGCCCGTATTAATTCAATTTGCGAAGTTATTATTGCCAACGTACAGTGAAACATGGAAACGTTGTTTGTGATTATTAGTGTTCAATATGGTGCTGTAATTAGCAATAAATAAAATAAATAATACATTGTCCTAATTAGATTCGATTAGTATGTTTATATCGGAATTTTTGAAAGATATAATAACTGGGTTGCAGAGTTGTGGTTTCATTTTTTTAAAATAATATCAAGTGACGGAACGGACAAGCCGTGCACCTGATGGTAAGCTACACGCCTATCCATAACAGTTGCAGTGCCACTCAGAGCTTTAAATCGAAAAATCTGTGGAGCACTGCCACTGCGCCCGTCACCCAGAGACATAAGTTGATAAGTCCCATGTGCCTGTAATTTGACCCTTTCACAATTTCAATAATATTACAAGTATTTAACCTTTACAGCATAAGAACGGCTCGCAAAAGATATTTCAAAAATGTACAGATACTCGTATTGTATGATAATTCTATTCCATTCTGACTTAAAGAAAATTCCAGAAATCCTAAATACTGTAGATAAACTGCAGAATCGATCCACGTCTTATTTTTCTTATGCATAATTCTTGTTTAAAAATATCAAATTCACACCTATCACATGTGTTTAGTAACGTCACATTTACATCCGTACATTTACACAACGTGCGCCATCAAAAATCAACATAACCTCACTTTACGAGCGTTTCCCTCCTCCACTGTACGCCGTTCAACGAGGAAGATAAATTTATTATCGCGTAACAACGCTTCGCTGTTGGCCTCAAAGGAAATTGTCTTCGCAAATGAGGCGGGGAGCTATAATTCATTGAGCTCTCAATGCCCTCTTAGTAATCGTATTAAGTTTCTGCTAGGTTCAGTTACTGAGGAAATGGTATTATTAGTTCGACAGGCTATTGACGTGATCATTCAGATCGCGACGGACTCGGCAAAGCCATATTATCTCTTCTTTCTAAAATCTAAGCATCTTTTTTAATCTTTAAAGCTGAAACAGTCGAAAGTTGTAGAATATAATGAATAGAATCGTTTATTGTCGTATTGTCAATGTCCCAGTTAGGGTATTAAACCGGTTAACAGCTAAAGAAAAGGTTTTCCAGTTTTTTATTGTGTGTAAATTGATTTGACAATACAGAAAACTTTGACGACTGATGCGCTTCGTGTCTAGATTAAGTACAGCACATTGAGTTCATTATAAGATGAGAGGTAACATCAATGTACTGAAGCAAATATGGATGACCTTGACAACATAAAAGATAATTGGTAAATGTTAACACAGAAAATACGTAAAGGCAAAAAAAAAGTGTATGCCTCATGCAAATTGGAAACGAAGTTTATTATTTAAAGCAACTTCAACTTACATCATACAGCTCCCAGTAATCGTAAATTTTACGCTATTAATAATGCACTTTCGGGAATTATGGACAAGGAAAGGATGCACGTACCCCACATGAGTTATTTCTATCATACAAATCTTATTTTACTGTCTCATTTCACTGGTTGCTTCGTTACAACGTCTGCATTAATTTAAGTTGCACCCGAAATATTTAGTTCCAACTTCAACAGGGCCCCCAAAGCTGCTAATTTTAAATCATCAAGTAATTGGCTTGTCTACTAACTAACTAACTATTCAATTGCCATGGCAATTTTGATATTCTGCCTTTTTTTTTTCTTTTGAAGGTTTTTACTTACAATTTAAGTGCTTATATATATTATCGAGTTTAATTTTATAAAAAAATACTTTTAATTTGAAGACTAAATAAAGATAAAGAAAAAGAAAGATAAAAGGAAAAGATAAAGGCTGATAAAAATGAAGATATGCATAAGAATTTCCATGATAGTTTTTGTAAGGCAACATCGAACGTTAGTGATTTAATGGATGGATGCCATCACTGCCATTTCATTGGCACTATTGAGACTCAACAGATTAAGATTTTAACAGAATGAAAAACATTGTCATAATTGTAATATAATCTCAGTGGAGTCTCAATGGAATTAGAAGAACTGAACAGTGGTTTCAAGAAAGTTAACAGGCCTGGGGTTCAGGTTGTTAGATTACAGTTGTATAATATGTCTCACCAAAAGCGTGCATGTGACAAAGGGTTCACGTTTAGAGCTATCGACTAAAAGCATTTAAAATATAAATGGATGTCAACTTCAAATAAAGCTTCTTGAAGATTGCCTAGTCAACTACATATCAATAGTGACAATATCCACAACTACAGTAGCATTGTATTGGATAGTATCTAACCAAAATTCGATAATCTCCAAATACATCAAGTTTTCACTTAGGTCTCATTTGTTCATATATTGAAAAAGATGTACGTGATAATAAGTCCTGATAAATTTTACAGTAGCATTGGATTCTTTAACAAGTTTTAAATATTTATTTGGATGCCAATTTTTCGTTTTCTATCGTGATGCTGTATTTTGAATATGTATTAAAATACATATCGAACTTTAGTAATTAAAAGTATGTAACTAAATACGAGCTTTCATGAAGCTTTTCAGTTCTATTTATGTTGGGTCCTACAGGGTACAGTTTTATCTCCTACTTTATTTCATTTAAGTTATTTCTACCCGAATTTAAAACATTTTCTTTTTCATTAGACATATTAATTTTCCTCAACTACGGCAAAGCAATGTTATGATATTATCATGACAAAAACCTGTAGTAATAATTTGATCGAAATGCTTCAAAAGACTAACACGATAGTTAAAATTGTCTCTTATTGTTACTTTTTTATAATAAATAACTCATAAATATATAATATAATACACTTTAATGTAACTACAAGATATCTTAATCTTAAGGACCCTTACCTCTTTCAATTTTGGGATCACTATTAGCTGTGTACAAGGCGACAGTCGAGTCATCCTTATAGAGGTCGCCGATTTTTGCTTCACAGCGCAATATGGGGGCACCTCGATCGTAATTCGCTGGCCACAGCTGAACTTCGACGTATAATTTGGAGCGGAATAACCCTTCGGGAGCTGGATGTTGCTGGTACAGACCTGGTGTTACCTAATGAAAAAAAACATTGTGTTATGAAATGATGTAAAAAGATCCTTATGATGACGTAAAAACATACTTAAGCTTAGCGTGGAAGTGTGTCCCAAAGACGTAAAAAGCGATAAAGAAGGAAGTTATTTTCTTTTATTGTTGTGTTGTTTATTGACTGTCATCTAGTTTATTGTGTGATTGTCAGGGTCTTTATATTGTTATGATGTATTTTGACATACAATAATAAATATTTCCTTTCTATTTTACATTTTATAAAAAAGAAGTAGATGATTATTGTGTTGCTGTCTTATTGTTACAATTTTGTGCTATTAAGAAAATATTATAGTGTAACAAGTCGTATACCCGATGGTAAGCAACAGACCTATCCATAAAGTTCCAGGCACAGTCATCGTGCCCATTATTCTTAATCAAGTCCCATGTGCTTGTAATTTCACCAGCACCCTTACGCTTCAAAACCGGACTGCAGGAAAGCTCACATTACTGCTTGGTAGTAGAAGTAGAAGTTTAAGGTTTTTTTTTATTGTGACACGGCAAAATGACTGCACCGCGCCTGATGGAAAGTGCGAATATAATCCAGAGATGAGAGTAACGGATGGAAACACAAATATCTTCACTCCGTCACTATCATTTTGCCGGTCTGACCAAATGCTTCTTCACACTACGTTTGAAAGACCCGATGTTATAGAGGGGAGGGAATACATGCGCCGGGAGTTGGTTCCACAATTTGATGGTTCGGCATAAAAACGAATTGCCAAACTTTTTAGTGCGGGACGGTATTGAACTGACCGTCCAACTGTGGCAACGCAGTCCGGCACGGGTGGTCCGCTGATGGAAAGGAGAGGAAGGGATAAGGTTGAATAACTCTTCTTCTTAAGGTGGCAGTATTTTCCTAGACGAACTCTTTCAGATGGAGATCTACTGTTACTAAATCGCGGGCTCACATTAGGTACGTCAAAAAAGCTGTATGTCTATGCAATAGGAGTGAAAAACGCGACCAGGACAACGCGACTTGACACGTAAGGTGCTAACGATACGCTGAACAGCGGCATTGACAATCTAACGATGTCGTCTGTGGCCCGATTGGCTTAACGGCCCAAGTATGATATAACACGTTTGATTTCTGTCGATTTTTCGTCGATAATTTTGGTGACTTTCAAATAATGCCAACATATAAACCCCAAGAGTAATAAATAACAAAAATATCAATGAAATACAAGGTGTGATATTTATAATTAGACTTTTCTTTGTCTTTTGTTTATCGCTTACGTACATGTAATGAAAATATATTTATTATCCATTATCAAATGAGGTATTCATATACGTTTATACATTTGGGCTACAACTTTGCTTTGCCTGAGTTAATTAGATGAACTAAATCCGTCGATTCGTGTAAAAATGTACTTAAAAGTTTGATAATCAAAAATTTCGATGTAAAAAAATATATTTTTCAGACGAAGTGATAACTACACACATTGCCTACCTAGCAATCCTGTGAATTCTCACTACTAAGGATGCATATTACGATTACGTTAAGCCCATGGCGCTTGCCCAACTCTGGTTGTGAACTGTCTTTTATAATGTAGGTTTCCTCACGATATTTGCTTTTTTTACAATTGTTAGCCATCCTCACATGTGCGTCACCTATAAATTAAAGGATTTTTGAAAGAAAGAATCCGGACTGTCGTCCTCTCAATTAACAAAAAACTATTTCCCCACTAGCCGACCATAGATAATTAATTTAATGACGTACAATTCCCGTAGTAGAGCCTTGAGAAAACCTGCATGTCAACAAAGAAAAAAAAACTTTTCAAGGTCTACTAATACACAACTAAACCAATTTAGATTTATGCCCAATACAATACAGTAATCTGACGACGATGCGTAAGTAATGTTAACCTGTAATTTCAGTACCTTTAACAAAAGTAAAGAAGCTAACGAAGCAATAAAGAAGGAACGTCAATAAATTACATGAAACTAAAGCCAAAGTTTCCAAATAGAAAGACCAAATTAAACTTTAACTCAAACAAACGAATCGATGTAAACAAACCAGTCGACGTAACGAAAAATAGAGCAATAAAAGCACTGGAACAATTAAACCGTAAGAGCTTTTATCCAGCGGAACTGAGATTGGTAAATATCAACAAAACAAACGTAAAAGAAACAATGTTGTATACCTCAACAAATTTTACTGAGTAGCTTAAAATATTAAGAACATACAGTTTGCTATTCTGTCTGTATTTTAATTTCGCCTAGAAATACCGACTGAGTATTAAAGATATCGAAGTTCAACGCAAGAACAGTAGCATCTTAATTGAGACTTTAATATCTAAGCTACGTATATTTGTGCTCAATAGTAGTAGTACTTCTCGATAACGTTAGGATTGCGTAGCGCATGATGACCTAAACCCGCTCTTTAGATAAGAAAGCCCTGCAGTGGAACGTAAAGTGGCTTGATGATGATTATATACCATTCATTGCTGTAACTAGCTTTGTAGTTCCCTTAAATGACGTTAGATGGCATGATCAATAGCGTGAAATAATAATATTACAAGTTTTACTAAACTGATCGCTAGTGTGAGTGAATTTTTATTATGAAAGAGTATTTTGTCCGATGTCGCAGTCAAGGTCATAAGTGGCCAGCTGTTAAAAAAAGAATATCCGAAAAAATCTACTCTTTGTGGGGATCCAAGGCACTTTTAGTGTAAATTGTATTGTGAATCTACTTATAGTTGACGATTTTGATAGCCCACGATTTTCATTTTGGGCGATTGACGAGTTCAGGTAGGACAAATTAGAGCGATTAACTTTTTTAAATTGAGTTACTGGCACACGTGGACTGGATCTAAATCAGTCAGCCGTGACCATAGAACCATTAAAGGACCCAAAACATTCATTTGTTCAGAAAAAAAACCAAATATACGCGACATAGATCTGAAAATCTAGTTTTATTTTCTAAATTGGTTCTGGTCTGGTTTTGGATAGTACTCCAAAGTGAATTCCTTTGCTCTGACACTCATTCAAGGAATTCCCTGGTTTTGAGACCAGGTGATCGATCTTGTCTCTCGTAGCTGCTCTCATCCTCTTTGAAACGTGGACAACTTCAATTATACCGCATAAATTAACGAAATTCGGCTTTGACTGGATTCTGTGACGTCATCGAAATGCCCGATATCATATCACAGTATCAAATAAAGAGCATTACTTGTCATAAAATTATTTATTAATGTAGATTTATTAGGTTAACTTGATTACTACGTATTTCAAATGAAACTATTTTTCCCGATCCAGAGTCGTCTAAAATGTTAGTAAATAATATAGTCCTGCGACTTTGTTAGTATTTTATAAATAACCCTGTATTTGTTCTTTAAGCAAACTGTTTCGGATTCTTCACATGTTCCATTTTTTATTAGTGTATCTATATGGGTAGTAACACAAAAGATGTATATGTGTATGAAATACGTATTGTCCAGTTAAATCATACATTTCTTTAACGTTCCATGTATTTATATGGACGATAACAAACCGAGCGCGGCCGCTCTCTGTGTATTTCACGCTTTATCGTAAACGGCATAATGTTGTATTTATATCTTAAGTGTCCAGCTTGAGATGTTCCTGATCCTGTACCCGCACTGACTACCATTTTGATATGTCTTTACATGTTTAATAAATGAATACGTTTGTTGTTTATGCCGTATGCATTCGATTACAGTCATCCAATTGCGATAAACCTCTCGTAAGTTTGTTGTTATTACTGATACAAGAATCGAATAGACACAAAGAAATATTTCATTAATCAGGAACAAAACTTGTTATTTAGCTCAGTTGGAATAGTTGTAGCCCCTGTTTGGCAAACAGTCGCTGGTTCGGGTTCAACAAAATTTGCTGAAATATTAGATCGTATGCAAGCCACGGGGTTTCTCTAAAGAGAGGGTCAAATCCATAGACCACCAACGTGTCAAGACACGTTTTCAGTGGTTTTATAACTCCGGATACAGCTGGCATTTCATAAACTAAACGAGTTATAATGAGAATCGAATTTTTATATTCTCTTTCTGGCATATCATTATGTAACTAAATAAATAGAAACACAATGCAAGACAATTTTGGTAGCAGTAGAGCTACTTGTGAAAGCTGCTACTGCTGCCGCCAAGCAGTAATGTGAGCGTTACTGCGTTCCGGTTTTGAAGGGTAAGGATGGACCTGTAAAGAACTCGAAACCATGGTTTGTTTGAAAAAACAAGTGTGTCCGGAATAGTTTCATTTGTTATGTGTGACAATCGCAAAAACATAAGAATTATATATATGTAGCCTTAGAATAATAACGCATAGAAACCTAGCCCGCACACGCTAAGTGAGGCAAATTAAAGCGCTCCCAAAGGGCCTACACGAGCGGGCGGGCCTTCAGTGCTCAAGGTCAACTTGCACCGCGAACAGCTCAAAAATTTTAGCTAAAAATGACGAAATGTGCGGTAAATTAGTGTAAAAATACGTCAGACAGACATGAAATAGACACTAACATCACATTCCACAAGAAAGTAACGCGTTTCAACTTGTATTTTTATATAAATATTCACTAAAACCGAAAATTAACCTACTACTAAAACTAGCCTACATAAATTTGATTTTTGCCTCACTTGTGACAGTTCGTTTGATATGAAACTATCATTCTATGCGTTATTATTCTAAGTATGTAGTTATATAGTTGATCGATTACCTAGAAAATGAGGTGTTAAATAATATGTTATTTGTTATGCATGGCTACAAAGTTGTTGTTTGACGCGAGAGCTTGTATTGAAACCTGAGCTAGCGAAGGATTCTAAAATTGTTCAAAAATAGACTACTGAACGTAGCAAGGGTTTCAAGGCACGAGACGCAAAACAACTTTGCTGCCGAGCGAAACACAAAACTTTTCACCTCACTATAGCGAGGAAAATGGTAGATAAAAGAAAAACAGTTGAACTATAACAACAGTTCCATTCATTCATGCATCAAAAATTTAA